GCTGGACAAGAAGAGGACATCGAGTTTCATGCATTTCCTTGTGTTATATCTATCTTAATTTTCAATATTCTGCCTATAATAGTCTTTCCACATACTAATCCCTCCATTCAAAACAAAGCTGAATAAACTATAAATACAAAACCACACATGTAATCCCTGCTATCTGTGATGTTTCATCCCTTGCTCTTTTTTGCTGTAATAGGGCTCAAAAATTCACTTCTTGTAATTTAAAAAGAATAATTGCGAACTGGTTCTATTGAGTAAAGAAAAAACTCCAGCAGCTCACACATTGGATATCTCAAACATTCTGCCTCTTTGAAATTACACTAGCAATAGCTTTTCCCCTTAAAATGAACCTCAGTAAATATGTTGGCCAACAATCAGACCCATTCCCGTATCTGAATTAAGTGCAGAGCGGTCGGAGTGAGAGCAGCACCGATGTCAAAGCAGCAGCACCCCTGAGCAAGCGGCTTTAAGGAGACCCGCTTCGAAAGCTTCCAGCAGAACAGTGTTCCAGCACAAAGTGCTGACTTGATGAAACGCAAAATATTCCACAGGAATGTGCTAATTCAATCAAAACTTTTGGAAGTGGCCGAGCCGGCTCGCTGAGCCAACCAACCAGTCTCGGGAGCCGAGTGGCTCTCCCCAGCTCTCCAGGTCACTGGCTTCCCTACCGGGCCAGGCGCCAGGCTGCTAGTCCCTACTCTCAGAGAGGCCCTTTAATAATAATAACAACAATAAAGTCTTACAAAGTGTTCCGAGAAACAAACAAAAGGAATTTGAAAATGAAAACCAGAATTACTTCAGAAACAAGCACAAGGTTTCTTCAAGAGGAGTTGGTTGCATTTGTTGCAAAGCATCTAAAACTACTGCCCCGAAGGACACAAGGCTCTCCTGCGTCTCCTCAATTTTTATGAGACAACTTCCAGTGGAAAAAAAAAAGCACAAACACTGTAACACCATAGAATGAAGAATAATTACACTCAAATCCTGAACTTCACCAGATAGGGCTAATCATCAGCAAGGAGTTAAAGGCAAGTTGCTTGCAAACTGCCGAGTGCTACCCAAGCCGATGCCCCTGCCCGACCAAGACCCAGGGCTACCTTGTAAAGCAACGCCTTGCGCAGGGTAATCCCTGCGCAGGCTCCCTGCCTCACTCACCGTGGCAAACTTGAACGAGACGGTGCAAGTGGCCTCGTTTAACACTCTGGAGAAGCTCAAAGGAATAGATATGGCTATATAATATTTTAGCAGTGGTTTTCAAACAAATCTGTCAACTAGCAAGTAACCCACTTCATAAAACTGGCTTTTAGCAACCCGTGGCTAACCAGTGCATGGGACCTACTCTGGCTTCTCAGCAACTAAGCAAGTAACAGTCTGAAGAGAGTTACTAATTGCTAAAAAAAGGCAAGACTATTTAAGACAGCAATACTAAATACCACAATGTTTTTGCACAATTCCATCCATTTAACCAGCTTTTGCATCAAAATGCCTAGATATTGGTTCATGCATGAGCACCACAAGTAGTTTACTTTGAACAAAGTTCCACAGAAAAAAGAAAAGAGCTCTTTTTACATGCCAAATCAAGTAAGCAATGAGATCTCTGTTGCAGGCAAGTCACATGATTTTGAAAGAATAAGGCTAATAAAATGTACTGATTTATTTATATGAAAATCAGCACAACTTCCAGCATAGAACAGGGAAAAATTTGTGACCACTCTCTTTCAGAAAACACGTGTAAATCAGACAGCTGCCAGAGTTTGCAGTTCACTGACCCTTCCCACTGCCAAATGCAATGCACAAAGGTAGCTCAGAAAGCAATTAGAGGTTGGCTGGGAGGACTCATTAATTTTCTTGAACTTCAAATCACAACTAAATAGTGTTATAACATTTTTCTGGGAAAGACTGTATGCCTCAGACTCACATTTAAGAAGAAAGAAGGTTTGTCCTCTCAGAATGGTAAAATACGTACAATTTGCTCCCTGTTGTTTCTTAGAAAGAACAACTAATACATTTACAGTATTATGAGGAAACACATCTAGAACAGAACTAGATATAAACACAGTTCAATCCAGCTGCTCAATTTTTAAACATCTCACCACCTGCAAAGTCTAAGGCTCCCTTCAACTACCTGCACCACAAAATTCAGAGAGAAAAGAAGGTGAGGGAAAAAAAAAGGCAGTGAGAAGGTATTTTTCCTGCTAGTGGTAACAGGACTGGGAAACCTACCTGTGACCAACACAAGCCAATGATGCCTACATGGCTCTATTTGAACATGCATGGCATAAAGCCAAGGTAACAACGAGAAAGTAAAGCGTAAAGAGATGCCTTCCATTTTGGAAGAAGGTATCAAAAGCAGAGAGCAGCACTTCTCTCAAGCAAAACTTGAGATGCCCTTCAAATGGCTAATCACAAAAAGGCAGATCCATCAGATTCCCTCATCATGGCAAACAGCAAAATATACCAGGGAAAAGAGCATGCATGTAGACATTCATATGCAATTCTGGGCCCGAGACTATGGCAGCATTAAGTTACCAATCTGGTAGTTGATTCTCTTTCATTAGCCTCATTAAAGCGATCACAACCATATCACAAACTAACAACTGAGCGCTACACAACTCTGAAGCCATATCCTCAATTTCTTTGTGCTGCAGTAATTTAAATAACCAGCTATACGCTATAATTTAAGATTTAGTCCACGACTCCGGGAGCTAATCAACTGGCGCTACAAGGATCAGTGCACACTTACCATTAAGTGTTTATGAGAATGAGACCATACTTCTAAGTAAGTGTCTCTCTCAAACCAATCTACATAATTTAGTAGTTTTCTCCTTTCAAGCTTATCTAACCATTTCCTAGAATGAGTTTCCGAGGCTCCCTATACAGCAGACACACTCCTAAACTGAGAAATGACATGTTGCTGGTAATAACTCGTATTGCATTGTCCACAGCTGCTTTTGTCACGTTGCAGATAATCCAGAGGGAGGCTTCGGTGCCACCGACACGTTTCACTTCTGCTCATTTATATGGAAGTTTTTTGACTTAACAGACTGCGCCAAGGTAACAAGATGGCCTAAAGGAGCTCCAACCACCAGCGTGCCAGCTGAGAAAACAGCGCAGGGCCGGGGGGGGAAGGAAAGGAGCCTGAATATGGCACCGTTGTGATACAGATGAACATCACAAACGATACTGAGAGGTTACCTTCTGTAATTGCTGTATCTTTGAAAAAAAGAGTCAGTCACCTGAATGCGCTCCTGTGCACGTGTAAGGAAGCAGCAGCCGCAAAGTATTTCAGTCAGTCAGCTCCTAACTTGTGCACACCCCATCAGCTGGATGACTGCCAGAGCTTGCTCTCTGCCAGCCTGCCTCCTCCTGCTCCACCCGGACTGATCCCAAGTGCATTGTGCCCTCCCGACTGGGGCGACTATCCTGCTTCTCCCTAATGTTCAACATCCCACAGCACATGGATTTCTATCAACCTATCTCAGAAAATGCTCAGTCCTAAATTAAAAAAGGCAAAACAACCAGAAACAAAGCCTCCTCTATCAGATGACGTGACCCTTCTTAAATATATGCATGGTAGCACCAGGAGAAAAAAAAATACTTACTTTTCCCGAGTGCTGTGCTTTGAGATGGATTTCACAACTTCGAGTACATAATTTCATATTATTTTTGCAACTACGGGCCAGCATTATTGTTATCCAGACTAAGAATAAAGTGGGCCCAACCATCCTCCAAGACCTGCTCCAATAAAAAAATCCAGTGTAGGATACCATAACTGCAAGGTGCCAGGAGGGTCAAAGGGCCCATAACACTACCGGTTATTTATGCAATAAATAACTGATGTTGGAGGGGACCTCTGGAGGTCTTCTGTCCAGCCCCTCACTCAAGGAAGGACCAAGTTACACTAAGTTGCTCAGGGCCTTGTTCAGTCAATTTCTTATGATCTCCAAGAATGGAGGCTGCACAGCCTCTTCAGGTGCCTGCCACTGTATTTGACCACCCTCATTATGTGGCACTTCCACCTTACATTGAACCAGACTTTTCCCTAATGTAACTTGTGACCACCAACTCTCAACTTTTTGCTGTGCACCTCCAAAAAGAGTCCGACTCACTCTTCTCTACAATTTCTTTCTAATCACATTCTGCTCTGACATATTCCACATCTGGTGAGTGGTGAGCAATAAGCTCATTCAGGAGGCACTGTAAGATTTCCTGATAGTAGGGCAGCTCTGCCAAAGTAGGCACTAAGATTTCAGTAAGATTTTCCAATTCATAGTTTTCTGAAAACTTTTTGTGTGCTTGCCACAGAACTGAGTGTCAGCCTAAGCCACGGTGATAGAAAAGTTTGATGCCACATCCTGCTTGTGTTGCATCAAAGGTTGCCTAGAAGGAGAGCTTAGTAGTAGCGAAAAAACAGAGCTACCACAGGTGATTCGTTTGACACTGGCAAGTTTCATTAAAATAATAAAAACATACTTCATAAGGACTGGTAGGATATGTATCACATACACAATCAGCTGAAGAAGGAGAAAGTTCTTTGGCTCCTTCAAGAAAGGGTAATTTTCTCGAATAACATGCAAATGCATAGTGTGTCAAGTAACAGTCCTTAATAATGTCCACAGAAGGAGACTTGATTGACCTACCTCACTACTTGAGGTCATTAGATGAGAGCACATTTAAGCTACACATCTCTCAAGTGGACACTAAACACATACTGACCGATATCTGATCTTGTGGTCATAAAACAGAATAAATACACCTAAAGAAGAATAATTTCATATTTGCAGAACAAGCCAACAGCGTAAATTATATTGACATGCAGTACAAAAAAAGACAAAGTTCTTAGGAATTAATTTGAAAAAATAAACTGCAAGCAAAAAATATGCATCATTTCTGAATCCACCGAACTTGTTACCAGAGTATCTCACTAAATAAAGAATTATTATCACTCTAGTGTTTAAAATGAATAAATAATTACCAGCTTACTTCTTTCTTACCATTGTAGGTTATCCTTGGTTTTGTCAAACACATCACAAGATGTAAATCCATTTCGTCAGAAGATACAAATTTTGAACATACAGGGCACTTGAATCCTATGGAAAATAAAAATATGTAAGTGTGAGTACACTCAACCACATTGCAAATACGTATATTCAAGCCAAAAAACTATTTTGCACACATTAAAAGAAAAAAAAAATCTGGCAGCTTTTCAGTTTTGACGTGACATTTCTTACATGAATATAATTCCCGTGATTTCAAAAGCTCTCAAAATGGACCATTGTTTCTGTAAATTGATCTGTTGCCAGTTGCAAACATGTCAGCACCTCTGGAACACAAACTTTCCCAACAACCCTAAGAACAGTTTAAGACCGAGCAAGAGGATAATATGATTCTACTAAAACAGAAATCAGAAATGTGTAGAGAACGTAGCCATTAAAATCTGAACTTGGGTAAGAACCCTGAATTAACATCTTCATTTTTACCAGGAATAGCACTGAAAGTTTAACAAAGGATCTCAGTTTTAGGCCTCATCACAGAAGCTGCAGCATCTTTTACCAGTCTGGGGCACAGGGAAAACAATAACTCAGTGGTGTCGTCTCACCTACTGAATCACTAATATTTCCTGTAGTAGTGAATTTGTTTGACTTCCCTCATCCTAGCCAAGCATGACCTTGCTTAGCTTTTGAGGTCACAGCCTGAGGCAATATGGGGTAAAGAATAATTCAGACAGTCTGGATTGTGATGCAACTGTATAATAGTCCATGACAAGACTGCTTAACACTTTAACTCATGTCATTACCAAAGACAGCAGTCTTCCAGTCAAAGGACAAGATTGGTTGGACAAGTTTTACGGTCCACAGAAGAGTGTGAGAAAAGTATGACTGATTTTGCTCTGCTGAATAATTAACATGTAAGTGAGAGACAAAAAGCCACCAACAGGGATCTCAATGTGTAACAGCTGTGCAGGAGTATACCTACAGGACAACATATGGCAAAACTATCTACATCCATGCTCAATGCAAAGGAGCAACTTCTTTGATGCTGTTGGAAAGTAATGGTGCAGGCATGTATAAATGGCCACTGCACCTTCCAACAACATCCACATATGAGCCTGCTCCCACGTGTTAGTTTGTCACCCCTTCCTGTTGTACATCTAATCTTGGGAGTCCACAATGAACCGAGTCAGTCAATGATGACAGGTGACTTGATGCTGCACTTTCAAGTTACTGACACCTGAGAATTTTGATCTTTACTGTTAATTATGACCCAGACGTAGATCAGGCAACTAACCTGAAGCACTAGCACTTGATAGAAATAATGCACCTCATTTATGAAGACAATGGTTTTTATATTTTTAGTGCAGCTACTAGGAAGCAAGTCAGAGCAGACAACCGGTAACACCCATGAGGAACTCGCAGCAGCTGAACATGCACTGGAAACCACTTCCTGAGATTAAGTACAGTTCTGATTCTTCCCATTTTAGTCATAAGCAGTTCATATCTATTTCTTCTGGTGTTAATCTTACATGTTAGTTTAAATATGACAGCACTGGAACAGGCTGCCCAGGGAGGTTGTGGAGTCTCCTTCTCTGGAGATATTCAAGACCTGCCTGGACAAGGTCCTGTGCAGCTTGCTGTAGGTGACCCTGCTTTGGCAGGAGGGTTGGACTAGATGACCCACAGAGGTCCCTTCCAACCCGTACTATTCTGTGATTCTGTGATTGCTCTTCCCTCCTTATTTTTAATCCTCCTCCCCCCATTCACATCTTCACAAACAACAGTTAAACCACATGTTAACAAGCATAAAACAGCCAAACACATCTTTTGGAAAAAACGGAAGTTGAAAGCTTGTTGTGTTTGTAGAAAGCTTTGTTAAGTGACCCTCCAGCCACTGTGTAGTCTCCTTCACCCCAGCTGCATCTCAACATGACTAAAATCGAAACTAGTATCTCAGTGCTCCAAACACCCCATAACTGTTTTGTTCATTTTCTTCAAAAACTGACCAGGGTAAATCTTCTCTCAACCTTTATCAGCCTAATGCAGCTGATTACTCCTAAGTCTAGTCCAAACCTACTAAGACCCATGCATTATTCTCATTTATATGCCTCTGTAAGGCATAATCGACAACATACTTTGACATGAAAAAGCATGTAATTTCCTTATACACTGCAGACTGAGTCCTGATGAGCCAGAAGGGAGTGTATGCATTACAGCAAGCTGACATTTATGTTCATGGCTAGTTAAGCACCAGGACAGTCATTAACATGTTCCCTCTGCTTTCTGAACAGAACCCTTCTAGATTATTCCCCAGGGTCATCAGCACATCTAATTGGGAGTGACATGGGGCAGGGAAAAACATCAATAGGTCTTTAGAACCACTGCTAGAGTTAACAGTGTTATTAAGAAGTTACATATGCCAGGAACGCTTAGAGGGAATACTGAAATCCAAACAAAACAGTAGGCAGAGCTTGGGTTAATAATAGTAATAACGCTTTTACTTAAAACCATGCTAGAAGACATATAGCTGTGAAAAATCTTTCTGGTTATGCACCTAGAGTATTCAGCTGAATGTGGTTATACTACCGTATGCCTGCTCCTAAACCTAGCAAACAGTCCATATTTTAGCAATATAGTAAATCCACATTTTAACAATACAGTATCTTGTGGCTTTTTTTGCCTCAAGGGGTATCTGAAGATAATAGTTACGCAACTACAAATATCCTCCTGACACAGCAAGTCTGGGTTATCTGTCTGCTATAGCTCTACTCAGAAAAGTACACTAAAGAACCTAAGTACCAGAGGACACTACCCTTACCTAAGCATTATGGACCAAAATAGCAGCCAGTGGTAAACGTATTTTTGTGGAAAAGATGTTTTTCCAGTGACCAGCATCAGCTGCATGCCAGAGACTAGCATTACAGCCAAAAAAATGCCTTGAGCTTGCAACACCTGCTGAAACTTTCTTCAAACACAAGCAAAATCCCATTTCTCGTTCCTTCACAACGCTTTCCTGCAATAACCATTTCCTGGATTTAGCTATCTTCCCCAAGAGATGTACAGTGTAGGTTTTGTGTGAAGGAAATTATCATTTCCAACTCCTTTAGTAACTCCAAAGAACAACTTTTTTTGACTGTAGACAGAACATGTACTTTTATTTTTAACTGTATTTGAAAAATACGAATAAGTGAACAATCAACACTGTCCACAGGCCAGTTAAAGGTCCTTAAAATAAGCTGGTATTTTCCCACCTTTCCTCAAATCAGAAGGCAATAGTTTCACGACCCAGTTTACAATTAAGTACTCCATAAGAACAAAGGCTCTATTGTACCAGTGCCCAGCAGGCTAACAACATTTATAGCCCATGTTTGTTTTTACCACCAGTCTCAAGGAACTCCTCAGACAAAAGTCATGTGAAACTTTCTTCAAGTTAACAATCAGCAACAGGTTCAAAAATAACTTACACTCTACATGACTTGTTTTACTGAGGTTTGCAGATAAACAATGCATTCACAGACTTTTGGACAACAAAGTGGAAGCAGTCATCAGATGAGGTGGCATCACGTAAAGTATCCTCTAAAAACTATAAAGCTCAGTTAACTTTCTCACTCTCTTTACAATGAGAGTGCAAGAGATAACGATAAGGGTGGTGAAACACTGGAACAGGTTGCACGTGAAGTGGTAGAAGCCCCACTCCTGGAAACATTCAAGGTCAGGTTGGACAGGGCTCTGATCTAGTTGAAGATGTCCCTGCTCATTGCAGGGGGGTTGGACTAGATGACCTTTAAAGGCCCCTTCCAACCCAAACTATTCTATAATCCTATAACACGCCGTTCTAGGTAAAAATCCAGCTCTTACGAAGGTGTTGGTTTCACAGCATCCCTTATGCTCATCCAGGATGAGAAACTCTCACCTTTGTATTAGGATCATCACTGTTTGTCAGCATGTCACTGCAAAGCTGTCCTTCCTTCTCCCACAGTAGAGAGGACACTGCCTGTGATCCAGCCCAAGTGAGGGGCAGAACCACTTCTCACCCCACACTCTTTTCTGTACAGCAGGAAAGAACTGAGCACCAAAACTGAGCAAGCACATGCCTCTAGCTGACTGGTCCAAGTGCATGCTTAAGAGGCAGGGAGACAAATTCTTACAAGCTCCCATCGTCTAGTTTCATAACCCTGAGTACAATATCGAAAGTAACACATTACTCAAAACAAAACCACAGTCCTGGAAGAAAGTACAATTACAAGAAAAGAGACAGAACAGAAAGTTGCAGTAAAGCTGCTAGAAAATCCCAAGATGGCACAGAAAGTTTGAAATAACTAAACATGCGTAAGCAGCAGGACTTCAATATTTAGAGGCGAATTCTCTCTCTCATTCTCTCTCAAATGTATCACTTTCTTTAGACTCCACCATCTTTTCAAATGAATCTCTAGTTAGCCAAGAAATCCCATCTTCTCTCACATCCATCTACTGAACTCATAACTTTCACCTCCAGCAGGCTTGGAAACTATCCACAGGGACAGGGCGATGGGTGGCCACTCACTCTGTCCGTACCAATCTCAACCTCTCATTGACGCCTTACTGTGTTTGCCTCGCTTTGCAAACTGACTGCTTAACTTGCAGTTCAGTGCATGGTGAAGCAAACAAAAACCCTCCAACAAATAACAAACTCCTGGACCTCTATAACTTTTGTAAAATCATGTTGGCACTCATCCTGGAATATCTGCTTTGTGGTGGGAACAAGAAAGAGCTAAGAGCTTCCAGACAATACAGTGCAGAGTTTCACAGAACCACACATAAAGGAAACACATTAAAGAAGGAAACACATTAAAGCGGTGTTAGGCTTGCACAGAAGAATGGATGATCCTTTTGGTCAATATTAAACAGTTGTAGCAAGAAATAACCACAAATAAAACCTGCACCAGCACAAAAGACTGCCTCAGCATGACCAGAGTAACCTTTCAGCAGAAAACATCTCAACTAGAACACTGCCAAAACCAGACTAAAGTATAATGAGATCAGCTGTTCTTTTAAAAATAAGTATGCAACTTATTAGTATTTTAAGTTTTTGTATCCTTGTGTTTCCAAATATGATG